GTAAGCTATTTAAAGTGTACATCATGGTGATTAGCTACATGTATACATTGAAAGGATTCCTCTCATCCAGTTAATTAGGGGCAATTCTTATTGTAACTTCCATCAGTCAAAATTCAGATCATGCTTTGCTAGAAGTCAAATTCCCACACTTTACGACACAGAACAATGGCTTTGAAAGTATGGTCCCTGGACAAATAGCACCTAGTGTCACCTGAGAACTTATTAGGAGAAAAAAAATCTAGTTCTTGTGACTCACTCAGACCTACTAAATCAGAAATGCTGGGGGTAGAACCCAGCAGTCTATTTTCATAGGTCTTTCAGGTGATGTGATACATACTAAAGGACAAGCTCAAGAGCAAGGGACTAAAGCTGTAAATTAAAGCTATCAGTGCCTACAACACAGAAGGATGAGGCTTGATCGTACCCTCAGTGGAGTCAATGCAATCTGTGGATGAACCACAGATGCAAGAGATGTTACAAAAACAATGCAAGATTTTGACAGCAGTTCAGAGTAACATCAAAGAGACTTGCCAATGACTTTACTGCTGAATGTTTCCCTTTAAATCCTTTCTATAACCCCAGTATCTACCTCCTTCTTGGTACAGGACCATTAGTGTTGGTCCAACACCAATTCCAAATTGTTCTGTCCTTTCTTCAACTCCTGTGACTTCTGAGCAAAGGAGTGCTTTTAAGATAATGCAAGTAATAACTATTGCATTTTTTATCATGCAATATGCCTTCTTAAGGACTTTTATATAGATTGTGTTATTTGATCTTCACAATTCTCCTAGAAAGTTTAACCTATTGGGAAATTTGTGTACCAATTTAGACACTTCTAATAAAGTCCTCAACCTAACAACCACTTTTTGAGACTAGACAATATGAGGCATATTTATATAAAACTATTTCTAGCCCCTACAACTCTGCAAGCTGTCCCAAGATAGCAAATATACTCAACTCAAGAATGTAGAAAATGCATTAAGATATATGCCATAACATTACATTAAAATGAAACATTAACTATTTCATGAAGCATGCTAAATACTCTATGGATTTAATATGGTACTAGTTATTACAAAAAGTGATGATATTGCAAGAGAGAAGCCTTCATTTTCCAGTAATGAGAGAAGGGAAGGGAATGTATCCTCAGCATCTTTGGGGATTGGTTCCAGGACCCCCACAAATACCAAAATCCCTGGATGCTGAAGTCCCTCAGTATCCTCAAATTCTGCATCTGCAAATATGGAGGACCAACTGCTATGACTTCAAAAATTCCTACACCAAGAAACTCTTGTATTTTCCTCCTATAATCCCCTACGATATCTGAAAATTTGCTTTTTCTCCTAAAACATCTATAAAGTTACATTCAAAATTGGGATAATTCAATAGGACTTATAGGCTCTAAAACATAATTATTTAATAATCCAATAGAAGTGATATCAATAAAATCCCCTCATTCTTGTAGATTTCCTGGTTCAGTTGCATTAGCTCTTCACCTAATGGGTGGTCTCTGTTCTCTGTGGGACTCAAATATCTCAAGCACACTGGCCTTTACGATGTTTTCATGGTTAATGGCATTTGCAAAGACCATCTTTCATTGAGTCTGTAGTACAGTTTTAGTTTGGAGGGAGCTGTAATTTTTATGATCACTCATAGGACAGATCTTCTTCCACAGAGCATGTTTTATTCGTGAATGGACTCTCGCCAAGACCAGGCAGTGGTCCAGGCTGTCCATGATATTGTAGACTCACTAATTGTAGGCTTATCCACTTTATTAGTTCACTGAGGGAGCTGCTGAGAAGATCTACACAGGCATTTAGACTTGAATGTGGCATTCACACCTTGATCTACTGGCTATAAAATACTTCTCCCTCAGATTACCACATAAACCACCTAAATTTACAGGCTGGCCTGGGGCTTTATCTATTTGGGTTACAGAACTTCTGAACAAAAGCACAGAAAATATAAGGAGCCATCCTTGAGAATTACTCATCACTGCCCTGGCCTCCCTGTTAGATCACAAAATTAATCTCACGTTAACCCAGGATCAGGCCTGGGGAGCCCTGGGATTTTCAGAATAGAAGACAAGTAAACAAGTCAATTTAAAATCTTTCTCAGTGTGGCCTCAAGTGATTTTTTTGGCTGCTTTAACCTGGGGCAATATTGTCTTCCAAAGAAATAAAAGTCTTACTGTGCAATCCTTTCCAATCAAACTTAGTCTTATCAACTGAAAAGTTTGTTTCAATGAGGGAAGCCAATATGTTAGGAAACTTGCAAGACTTGTATGTATCATAACTGCCATCTTCCCTGTTCACCTTAATGCTCTGCAAACTACTCCTGTCTTGGAATCTTATAAATCATTCTCTACTAGCCACTAAAAATTTCCATTTCAAAACCATGATTTCTTCAAACCACAAGTCCCCAGACATTGTGGCTTCTAAAAAATCATATGATGTTCATGCTAAACTATTTTGATCCCTTGCCCATATACACTCAACAGGTTTCCATCAAAATATTTTATGATAAATCAATTTATTAGCACTTATAGGTATAATTCTTGACAATTTTTAAACAAATGTTTTCTTGATTTTGTGTAATAGAATGTTAATGGAATGACTCCAAATCCCTTTGCCATTTAACCAAGTCTTAATCTTTACCAAAATACCTTAACATTTCAGATTTTACATTGAACTAATTGATGAACAGTTTCCTTTTCCTTTGGTATTTTTTGCTGTTTGTCTTCTTTCTATAGATCTTCAGCATAGGTTTGAGACTTGTGTGAACATACACTCCTGGCAAGTAAATTTCTAGAACTATAAAAGGAAGGCTTCAGATTTTTGTGATTTAGTTTTTCCACTTGCCTTGTTCTGCTCTGGGTTTGTTGCCTTCTCAGCAAAACACAGAATATAATCAGTTGTGTTGTTTTTTTTTTTTAAGTCAAGAACAAAGAAAGTAAAATAGAATCCGAGGGAAGCAGGAATAAAGAAAGAAGCAGGGCAGATAAACTTTCATAGTTATATGCTAATTGGAGAAGTAAAATTCTAGGAAGAAAGTTAAGCAAGATGGCCCTCTGCCTGTTTCCAATATTCCCAGAGTCACAGAAAATCTGAGTCATTGTGAAGATGCTCTGTTGATGCTGTGGTAACCTAGGCTCCTTGTCCACTCTGGCAGCTAGCCTGTCACAGTTAGAGGCTCAAAACTAAGAGCTCTTTTTGAAGATCAAATGCAGAAAAGCATCACAAACAAAAAAAAAAAAAAGAGGAATTCTGTTTGGAATGACAAAGCCATTTTAAAAAACTTTAACAATACTACCAGACATCCAAAAGTACACCAGACAAATGTGACTCCTGAGTTTTGAAAGTGAGTCATATACTGCATGCCACATACAGCAAAGGTACTAACGTTGTTCATAGACAAAGATAGTATGGCTTCCCAAACCCATTTCTAGGAGGTTTAAACTCAACAAGGCTAGCCCCTCATCATAAACTATTTATATTGGATGTTGGGCCATTTTTCAATTGATTGTTTAATTTTGTCTCTTTAATTGTTGGGTTCCAGGTATTTAATAAGATAATGGATTTATGGACTGAATAAGTAGGGATATAGCCTAAAGGCTGTTTCAAACTGATTGGAATTTAATATGTGAGGATAAATGTTCATATATCAAATGTTTGGCAAATCAAACAGACATATGTGCAAACAAAAGCTAGTCATGCTTTTTCATGTATATATCTAACACAAAATATTTGAGTGTTGATAACATTGTACACTGGCATATTTCATGTGTGTACCTGCACTCAAAACTTTTGTCAGACTTGGTCAGCCTTTCAAATAACTTTTCATCTAATCTCTTATGGTCTCAAAAGCTAAGGCTTTGTTTTCTCCAAGAATAAGTACCCAAAGCAACTGATAAAGGGCCACCAACATTGGGACAACATTAAGGATGTCTTGATGACTGGCCCTCTTAAAACATTTGCTTAATACTCTTTCCTGTGCATTTGGATCAGTTGAGAACTGTCAAATTTAAAAAGTTATACAAGCATGGCTTTCTCCTGTTCCACTGTTATGCATCAGTAAATCCTTCATTCTTTATGGCTTATTAGTATGTTTAAAAAGAAAAAGCAATCTGCTGCCAAAACCTGGTGCTGGAACCAGATGGGGTGGGAGTAGAATTTGTAATTCACAGAAAACAGAAAATTCCCATTGTCTGGAATGTGGAGTTGTGGGACTTTTGCTTTCATATTCATAGCATGACAGTAAGAGCTTTCCATATATGAAGACTATAACCAACCACGTTTGCACCAGTCTATCACCATTATAGGGAGTGGAAAATGCACAAAAGCCCAGGCTAACAGAGTAAATGAAAAAAAAAATAATGTCCTTATTGCATAATAACCCTTTCTCATTTTTCACTGCATACATAACATTTTTCTAAATATAGAGTCATCTATTATTCAAACCTAGGCAGAAGGAAGCTATTCTGGGAGTGCCAGAATAGCACTCCTATCCCTACTCCCCCAGTGGTTGACAAACACTAATGGACATTCTTACAAATTGATTTATTGATGTGATTTTTTTTCTGAGAGACATGGGGCTTCCTTTTACAATGAAAAGACAACAATGACTGCTTCATTAAGAAATCCACAGGCAGCCTGTTACCTGCTTAAGGGGGAAAGACTTTGAGTCTCAATCAAGTTAATAAATTTAAGATACCTGGGAGGGTTGGGTACACTGAACTTTTGGCAGAAAGCCAGGGCTAAAAGAGCTAACGTATTATTTTACTTTGTTTTTTTTATGAGAAGAAACAGTCTGCTGACAAACCCAGCTTAGGAATCAGATGGGAAGGACAGGAGGGGGATAAATTGCAGTTTACTGATAAAGTGAAATACAGATGATCTTGGAAGCATTTTCATATATGCATTCCCTTTAACCAGAGTGAAGGGCTTAGACAAGGATGGTTGATGTGGTTGGGTCTGCCTTTGCTGAATTTGCTTTATTACCTGGATAGAGGTCAGGCCCGGGCTCTGGGGAGCATCCCACCGCCCTATCGACAGCGTCTCGTGGGGAGGTGGAGGGCTGCAGGGGCTGCACCGTGAGGCAGTCTGTGAGCAGGTCGGGATGGAGCTCAGCACTGGACCGCAGCTAAGAGAAGGAGAAAACAGAAGAGAGATGGAAAAGGAAGGCTATTCCTCAGAATACTCTTTTCTGGAAAGGATATCATGCCCTAAGGTTCATGCACAAATATTTATCAAGTAACAACTACAGGTTAGGCACTGGACTTAGAGAGTCAATACAAGGGTCAGCTTTCCAATTTTAATAACACCTGGCAGGTGTTTCAGGAAAAATGTGGCTAGAAGCAGATTTTACTTCAGTCCTTGATATTTCCACGTCTGGGAACCCAACTTCCTATTATGTTTTCTTTGATTTGCTCTGTATCTAATCAGAACTTGTAGTGATATCAAAAACAAACTCAAGTATATTTAGTCCATATTGTAAAGTGTTTTTAAAATACAGAGATAAAATAAGATGAAAATATCTTAGAGATAATTAAGAATGTCCATTAAGATTTGACACCTATAGATTTTTTGGAACATGATAACAAGAAAAACCAACGTCATTACAAGCAATAAACTATCCCAACAGTAAGGTACATAAAAAAATTAGACTTCATTTTATCACAATAACACAATAAATTCTTTATATATTAAAGAGTCATAAAAATATCAGAATAAAGTATAGATACAAAGTTATGTGATTTATTTATGAAAAAGAATTTTGTTAAGTGTAATCTGAATGGAAAAAAGTCACAATGGAAGATTTAGTTATATAAAAATACCAACCTCTGTTTGTCTAAAAACATAATATCTTTAAAAATCAAGACATATATTCGTCACAGATATTGCAAATAGTTATCATCTTCTGTCCTCTTTAAACATATATGTTCTCTGTTTAAAGAGAACATATAAATTGATTTTTGCCTTCATCAAGATAAAACTAACGCTTTAGAGAAGGCAATGGCACCCTACTCCAGTACTCTTGCCTGGAAAATCCCATGGATGGAGGAGCCTGGTAGGCTGTGGTCCATGGGGTCGCTAAGAGTCGGACACGACTGAGCGACTTCACTTTCACTTTCACTCACTTTAGATACAGGACTGGAGTATACTCACTCATTCAACAATTATTTAATGAGCATTAGACACTCTCTAGGCTCTAGAGATACTGTCTAATGGAACTTACACTCTAGAGGGGAAGCAGGTGATGAAAAAATAAAATATATACCACAGCAGATAGTGAAAAATGCTATAGAGAAGAGTGATACAGAGAAGAAATATAATGAGTTAGAGACAAGGGATAGCAACTTGAGATGCGGGGTCAGAGAAAGTCTGTTGGAGATGGCACTGGCAAAAAGCCTTGAGAAAAGTGAGGGAGTGAGCCCTGAAGATGTATGGAGGAAGAATTTGCTTGCCCTGTGGTGTGTTTGGATTATGTGAAGAATAGTAAGGCAGGAGTGGAGGGAGTCTCGGGCCTGGAGTAGAGAAACAGGAAAAAGCCGAGGTGTAAGTGGGGGAAAGAGGGAACAAGTATAGTGTCCCTCTCTTTCTTCGTCTCAGATGAGTAGATTAGAAAAGGGCCTTCCAGATCATTTAAAGCTTCTAAACACTCCCAGTCTAGAAATTATCAAATGAGTGAGGGAGGTGGTAGACAGCAGAATCTCCTGGGAAGGGACCAGTTCACCGTGCAGCACTTCACATGAATAAAAATTTTTAAAAAGGAGAAACAAAAATGAGAATAAACATAAAAAATATTCAGCACAATTGCAAAGAAATAAATGCAATGCTATAACTTTTTAAAAACTTATCAAATTATCAAACCTTTACAAAAGAGGTAGTTGTAATGAAAGCAGAGTGAGAGAAGCATCTTGAAACATTGTTGGTTGGAGTGCACATTGTTACAGACTTTCCACAGGATTTGGAGGAATATTTTCTTAAGACTCATAATTGAAATTATTTGCTCTTAGAATTTCTTAAGGAAATAGCCAGAAAAGTGAAGGCAGATTTATATTCTTTATATTCACCACTCTAGTGATACACAGCATTATTTATAGCAATATTAAAAATTAGGAAAAATTACTTAAATATCTAAGAAAGTGAAAGTGTCAGTCATTCAGTCATGTCCAACTCTTTGCAAGTCCATGGACTGTAGCCTGACAAGCTCCTCTGTCCATGGAATTCTTCAGGCAAGAATACTGGGGTGGGTAGCCATTTCCCAACTCAGGGATCGAATCTGGGTCTCCTGCGTTGCAGGAGACCTTCTAAGCCACCAGGGAAGCCCTAATTTTTTACCTTCAAAGCCACCAGGGAAGCCCTAATTACAGCTGATAAATGATGCTACATTAATTTGATGGAATATTATGCAACCATTAGGATGATATTCATGAATACAAAGGCAAAACAAAATTATGTATATAAAGTGACAACAATTACATTAAAACACAGCTAAAATACTGTAAGGAAATATAATTCAATATTAAAAATCATTTTTGTCCTCAGCAGCAGTATCATGAATTTATTTCCTCTGTTTTCTTTTTATTCTTTCCTCAGTTTTCCAAACATACCAGTGATGTGATGGAGCTGGCTTGCACCAATCTAAGAATGCCAATTGTGTCTACTTTTCCCAAACTTGCAATGATGTCATATTGATAGCCTGAAATTGGTCATGACGATAGCATTTACACTATGGAAACTGACAAATACTACAAGTGGGCTTTCCCATATGGAGAGCTGGTTGTTGCCAGTGCAATGATTCTGATCAGAAAGAAAAACATACACACAGATACAAAACATCAGTAAGTTACTATTTAGAGAACATATTTCTTGGAACTGAAAAAGCTTTATGAAGAGACAAACACATGTCCAGCTTTTAGTCCAAGAATATGAAAATGGCACAGTGACCCTAAGTTTAGGGAAGCAGCGTTTAACATATGTAGTGAACAAGACAATTATAATCTCCTTAGCTTTGCCACATTGGAATGTCTGCCCAAGATTATCTGAGTTAATGCCTAACCCTCTCAGGGCCTTTGGAAGGTATGTTTGATATTTTGGTACTAACCTAACACATGCCACGTAAGAAAAACTGGAAAAAAATCAAGCCTTAGAATGAGTTCTGGTGATCACTTTTAATTTATCTTTCATTATTAAAATGTGATCTGGGGCCCACATGTTTTACTAAGAGTAGACATGAACGTCCCTCTGCTTTCTATTACCAACTACTCTAGGGTTTTACAGACATGAGTATTGATGAGGTCTTTCCAAGGAATTTCACGGCCACGGTTACTTCTGGAGTTAAAGGCAGGCAATTCTTCTTTAGCTACAACAAGTACTCATGTTTTCCAAGAGTGTGATTCCATACAACTTTGCGGTGAGAGTTAATTTGGTTTTCTCTGGGATTAGACATGGTTCTACAAAGTGCTTCTTAAATTGAACAAGCCTCAAGGACTTTTTCTTTTTTTTTTTGCTTAAGGTCCTTGAAGACCTTATGCAAAATTTCCAAAGCAGGGCCATATGCATAGAAATGCAGTAATGGTACTAAGTTTAGTATCCTTCTCTCTCTCCCAGATTACTAGACAAAGAAAAGGACTTCCAGATCATTTAAGGTTCTTAAACATTCTCTACCCAGGAATTATCAAATGGGTGAGGCAGGAGGCACACAGAAGAGTCTCCCAGGAGAGCTAGCTTTCCATATATCAGTATTATGATTTTATATTTGGAGTGAGAAATCCAATTATTTATATAAAGCAGTATCTTCTTAACTCTTAAGAATATAAAAAAGAAGAAACTTTTTCAATGGGGGATGGTCTCTAACTGTGAATCTCAAACCTGGACATGCATCAGAATCACCTGCATGCTCCAGTGCAGAACTGATGATTCAATGGGTTTGCAGTTCATTTCTGTGAAGTTCCCAGGTCATGATGATATTGTCTGGGAACCACACTTTTGGAACCACTAAGAATCCTGATCAGAAGATTCTCTAAGAAAATGCTGATTAGAAGAGATGAGACTTTTCTGGTCATGAGAAGAGAAAATGAATTGCAGAAATAAGGGATTATAAAAATCAAATTGACTTTATGACATGAACCTCATTTTATTTTCTTGGGCTCCAAAATCTCTGTGAATGGTGACTGCAGCCACGAAATTAAAAGATGCTTGCTCCTTGGAAGAAAAACCATGACAGACCTGGACAGCATATTAAAAAGCAGAGACATCACTTTGCCAGGTCCACATATTCAAAGCTATGGGTTTTCCAGTAGTCATGTATGGATGTGAGAGTTGGGCCTGAAGAATTGATGGTTTTGAATTGTGGTGCTGGTGAAGACTCTTGAGAGTCCCTTGGACTGCAATGAGGTCAAACCAGTCAATCATAAAGGAAATCAACCCTGAATATTCATTGGAAAGACTGATGCTGAAGCTGAAGCTCCAGTACTTTGGCCACATGATGGAAAGAGCCAACTTGCTGGAAAAAACCCTAATGCTGGGAAAGCTTGAGGGCAGGAGGAGAAGGGGGTGACAGGATGAGTTGGTTGGATGGTATCACCAACTCGACGGATATGAGCTTGAGCAAGCTCCGGGAGATAGTAAAGGACAGGGAAGCCTGGCATGCTGCTGTCCATAGGGTCTCAAAGAGTCGGAGGTGATTTAGCAACTGAAAAGCAACAACATGAACCTCATGTAACCATTTCTCATTATGTTTACTTTCAGATCTCATGATAATAAATGGTTACATGAAGTTCATATCTTGAAAACAATTTGGATTTTTATACTGTCGCGGGGATAAAAAGGGTTAAAAATGTTCAACCCAGTTTAATACTTGCCCTTACAGGACAGCAAGAACATGCCCTTTACAGAGCCTTTACTGTTCTTTACATACAAGAAACAAATATCCCCTCCTTTTGTTTGGGACACCAGTCCCAAAAGGCAAAGACAAGAAGAGTTTCTGTGATGTGATTCCACCACATACCAAAGATAGGTGTTTCCACAAGGCCTTGACAAAACACTTTGTTACTCTCAAGAGCACTGTCTCGCTGTCTGCAAACATCCCATTTGTTATGCTGTTCATTCCTTTTGCCTGGAATGGCTTTCCCTCCT